AAAGTGTATATACGTATTATTATCAAAGGAAATCAGTTTGTTGAAAATATAATAAATAAGTACGGAAAGATTAACGATGTATGTCAATGTGATTGTGAATTTAAGACATATGATACCGTAATTTAATATTTTTTTCTATTAATATATTTTTTTTCTGTTTTTATAAGAAACAATTTAAATGTGTTAATATTTATCTTAATATTTCGTGAACGTATAGTCTAGTGGGATAACGCGTCTAGTTTAAATTAAATTTGTTAAGATTAATTTTCAGGTTCAATGGTAAACGTAAGTAGATAAATAACCCTCGACACGGTATCCAACTAAACTATACGTTCACATTTTTTCTGTTTTTTTTTTTTTAATCTCTTCAGTTTTAGTATATAACACGTGTGAGCAAAAAAATACTGTTAGTTTAAGCTATACTTCCATAGTGTTTATATTCATTTTTTTTTTTTAAATAATCGTATAAATATTAATTAAAAATCGTTTTATAATTTCAAAAAACTTATCGTTATATAATATGAATCCACCAGTCGTTGTATCAAAATCAGTGTTCGATATCCGTCCTTTTGGAAAGAAAAGTGTAACAGTTGGACTTTTGATTAATAAACAGATTTCAATTATTATATTATTAGAATGTAAATAAACAAAAAAAATTGTTACGTTAGACCTAGATCAGTGGTGTACATTAATGTGTGAAAATAATTATAACGCAATTATTGATAATTTACATATCCGATGTAAACGTGTTAAAATAGCTGACAACTTTTTCTATTCCGTTAATGTTAACCAATCGACTATTGTTTTATATTCGAATAATAATTATATAACATTATCTCACGTTGATTTACATCGTTTAAAACAATTACAACATTGTATCGACTTGTATATTGTTGAAAAACAAAAGAAGTTGGAATTATACAAAAAACATTTGATACAGCATATGCGTTGATAAAGGCCGATGTCAATGGATTACCATCGTCTTGTCAACGAAATGAATTTACAAACCAATATATTCAAAATTATGATTTTAGTTATAGCAATATTCAAAGTGATGATATTTCATTCATGTACGAGTTGTTGCAATTTCATTTTAATTCATTATCAAATATGATTTTACAAGATTTGGTAATGTAATAAAAATTAAAACCTTTAGATTAAATTCTCATATTTTTTGTTTGCTAAAATTTTTTTATAAAAAAATGTTCATTTTATAATTATTACTACTTTTATACTGTATTCATATTTATTATATTATATTAAACTTAATATATTTATTTTTTTCAATCTTTAAATGTACTATTTTATTTTATTTAAATAAATAAAAAAATGATAATTCAAGTTATTTATTATTATTTTTATTTACCGTCATCATGATTCATACATATATATAAATTATTTTGAAAAAACGTTTTGTATAATTTTTTTTTTTTGAGTCTTTCATAAAACGATCAAAGAGCGTTTGAACAATTTCATTCAGCTCTCCTAAAACATTCTGATCTTTCGACTGGTCTGTTATCGTTAGTTTAATGAACATTCTGCATGTTTCCACCTAAAATCACATAAATGTGTTCTATCATATTTTTACATAAATATACACTAACTTTATTTCAAAGTAAATACAAAGAAAAAAATATTCATTTATATATATTATATATATTACCTGTCTTTAGCATCAATATGTTCAATGTTTTTGGTTTTATAATGTGCCAACGTCCAATAATCAGTACATTTTTCATCAGCAATCGATTTAATAGTTACAATTCCTCCACTTTGTCTGATTGTAATCGAATTCATAACATCTTTTGCAATTTTTTCATTTTGTATTAATTGGGTAACTTTTTCTTGATAAGAAATATTCTATAAAATCAAATTATAAATTTATTCTTTGAATATCTTATAAAATGTTATACTACTCACTTTTTTTGGTTTTTTTTTTTTTTAACGTTTTTCTAATTTTCACATCTTTCCTTTTTTGACCGGTCAATTTCGTCATCTATTTAATTTCTGGTTCCATAATTTCAATCTATAAATATAGTAAGCGATTAGTTAATACCTAGTTTGTTAAAAATGTTATGATATTTTATACATTTTTATATTTAAAAAAAATTATTTATTATTAGTATTAAATATTTAAATTAAAATCAAACTAAGTCTTAAATATTGTATTTTATATATATATATTTTTACTTGCATCACTTGTAGAAAAGCATTCTTCTTCTTCATCACTTTTAACTGAATAACACGATATTTTTTTTTATTTTAAAATAAATTTAATAAAAAAATAGAAAAATTTCGAGTACGAAAATAAGAGACGTGAGGACGGTGTAGACTCAATGAGGTATACTGTGTACACTGTGTTAGCTAGTCTCCTTATATGCTATGTTTCCTCTTACACTCCTCACCCCCTTAAGCATGATTTGTTATAACCACTTTTTTGGCTAAGTTGTTATTCTCACGGATATAATTTAAGAAAGCCCTCACGTACGTATACGAGGTCTACGAATTTTTATAATGTAATAAACTATAAGTTGAAAGACCTCGGATAGGTCAAACCAGTAAAATCAAAATTTATGATTTCTATGATTTCTCATACACATTCCACATACATGCGAATATTAGATAGTTGTTATTGCCAATTATTTTTTTAAAACATGTCTCCCAAAATATATAATAAAGGTTATCTTAAAACAAATGACGTTGATGATCATAGAGATGGAAATTTGAGGCTATATAACTAGAAAATATTTTTTTAAAAAATCACCAGTTTTCATTGTGAACTCAAGTGAACACAAGTGAATGCAGCGGACCGCAATAGAAGACATCAGATTTATTTGATACCTTTTTCACAAACAAATATATAAGTACTTATTGTTACTATTTATTTATTTTTATTAATATATATATATATATATTTAAAAACCTCCTCGTGGTTAGGTTCTTCTATAAAAATTTGTGCCGTATGATAGATCATATTTACACTTTCTTCCCTAACTCCTTGATCGACATTTAAGATATTTTTAAAATGCGTTTGAAACTTCTGGATGATGCCTTCTTCATTCGTTATAAAATTTTCATCGTTGTCCTTTACCATACGAGTTTGAGCTTTAAATCCTTCCTTTATAGATCTGCATTTTTTGAAGAAAAACCTTGGGTTGAGCCTATGTTCTTCTATTTTTTGAATAAATATTTTTTCCGCTTCTCTTTTTTCCTGTCTCAATATTTATTTAAGTCTCTTTAAAATTTTGGAAGAAACACTGATAGATTTTAAAGACAGACGTATTCTCTATAGGATTTATGAAGAACAAGAAACCATTATCAACATTAATACGACAACAATGACTGCTAGAATCCAAAAAGGTGTGAGACAAGAGTGCCCACTTTCACCTGCATAGTTCAATGTATTTATTGAAAAAGCAATAAATGTCATAAAGCTTTAGTTAAAACAAAAAGAAATCGGAATAAAAATAGGAAGGGTACTGATAACAATGCTTCGCTTTGCTGATGATATAGTCGTTCTCGCAACATCTGAGGAAGACTTACAGGCAGCATTAAATGTAATAAATATTACGTTTAAAAAATATAGTCTGAAATAAATGCAGCCAAGACCAAAACCTTAGTATGCTACAAAAAAAAAAACGTACCATCTATAAATATACCATTAGAAAACAAAGAAATTATCTAAGTAGATAATTTGAAATACTTAGGCAACATTATAAGTTATAACAGACGACGGGAAATCAATTAAAGAAATCTGAAGCAGGATAGGTAAAGCAAAGAATACATTCTTTAAAAAGAGTAAAATACTAACATCAAAAAATATGAAAATAGCAACAAAGAAACTGCTCATAAAAACATATGTCTGGAATATGGTATTATACAGAAGTGAGATCTGGACAATTAATAAGAAAGAAAAAGATATGTTAGAAGCTCTTGAGATGTGGTGTTGGAGAATAATGCAGAGAATAAGCTAGACTGATTCAAATGAATCAGTGATCAAATGAAGACATCCTGAGAACAATAGATGAAAAACGAACATTGATAGACACCATAAAGAGGAGATGACAGATGATAGGATATACGTTGAGGCATGGAGAAGAACTGCATAGTATAATAATCGAAGGTATAATATAGGGTACAAGATCAAGAGGAGAACATAGGACAAGATACATTAGTCAAATAATGCAGGATGCAAGAGTCACTTCCTAAAAGGAGCTTAAGAATATGGCGAATGACAGAGAAAAATGGAAAAGTAATTTATTGTAAGACATAAAGTCGTAAGTACGGCTCAAATATTTACATTTTAAATAGTCACCTTTTCTTTAGGAACTTCTTAATAATTATTAATATATATTCTTTTCGATAGTGCACTCATCGAGACGACCACTCAAATCGTAAGAGACTTGTAACTAAACAGTGTACACTAAGACATTTTTAACAACACCTATTTTGAGACAGTCCTAAGCCTGTAAAATAATCCAGGATGTTGGTAATTATGTATCACTTCCGATTTTTTTTATTATTTTGATATTTAAAATAAAGGTTCAAATCTTAAAAATGATATCTTACCTTAAAAGTAAGAGCAATAAAATAACTATAAAGTTCTTTGTGAGTTTTTAGTGTAATAATATATAATGATAGATAAAAAAAAATAAACTTTAAATTTATAAAAATTTCAAATGTGTGGAACCAAGTAATGTAAATCAAAATTTGATAAAATATACAATAAATATACATTTTTACTGATCATATCTTTTAATAAAATCTAAGAGTTTAAGAATTTAGTTTAGCTTCAATATATTTTAAACTTTACACTTACATATGTGTATCATTTAACCATTTGTGCCGCCTCACATTATATTTTTTTATTTTGGTTGTTAAAACAGATGTCTTTAAAATAAATACATAAAACATTTATTTATTTGTTTTAATGTATATAATCCAAAAGAAATAGGCACTCTTTTAGTGTATAAAACTTAGTACCTAAGTTGAATTCGATCATTTTAAATTTGTTCTTTGAAAAAAAAAAGTTGTAATTATCTAAGTTGCTATATCTTTGTAATTATCAAACCAAAAAGATATGATTTCATATAAAGTTTTAATAATATTAACTTTTACAATTAATATAAGCCACAGTAAATATTCTGAAGAGCAAATTCTAAAAGGTAACGAACAACAATTAATTTATAAAATATATTGTACCTATTTCTAAATAATTGAAAACTGTTGATTAAAAAATGTTAAGTAAAAATTAGGTTATAGATTCATTATTTTGAAATGAAATAACACAAATTCACACAATATTACTATTAATTTAGCTTATTTAGTTTTCTTGTACAACCGAATGATAGGAATAAAAAACTACATAATAATATTAATAGTACTATATAATGATAATAATTAATAACAATACAATGTTATTGCAATTTTATTATTAAGATCATAGTTATCAATATTTATTTAATTTTCATTTTTTTAAGTTTCAAGAACTTATTTTAACTTTTTCGGAGGACTATTAACTGACACAATTTATTGCTGATTATTTATCACATCTAATTTGTGATTCTTTTTTTTTTTATGATTAAAGGTCCAAAATAAATGTAGATTTGAATGGTACTGATTTGTAAATTTAAATTTTCATTTGTTGCCTAGTATTGGTTGATTTACATGAAATATTTAATATGTTATACATTTTTAAGTTACAAATAGAACTATATAAAATAATAAATATCTTAATATCCAATCTATTGTACCTTTAATTTAGTTCCATATATTTTATCCTAAGATCACACGATAAGCCAGTAAACCCCAGCCTCGCGTGCCTTCGAAAATTGTGACTGACAGCTTTACTCTGTAACGTATTGACGTGAATACCCAAATAACTCATAACATAACTATGTCTCTCAGACTCAAAAATCTAGTGATCATTTTTACAACTGACAAAAAGAATAAGGAAACGAAATGTTGACTAACGAATTGAAAGTTTTAATGTAATAATTATACTGCTAAATGAAGATCCCTCGTTTTTTGTTTAACATAATTTCTGTTTTTTTAATTATTATAATTGTCTTTTACTGTCATTGTGTACACCATATCGCCCATATCTCTTGTTCACGGTATAATCCTTTTATTGTTATTGTTATTATTACTTAATATCTTAAGACTTATATCTATTATTGTATTATTATTTGCACTTTCGGTAATTGCGCTAGTCCGGTTTCTGTCACAGAACACGGGACCGGAGTAATGTGACCGCCGAAAAGGCACCTATGATATATAGGTTATTATTATTATAAATAATAAAGGCCATGCAAACGACTATCGACTAACCATTCCTATACCAGCACTGTAGTAAGACCTACTCAGGCAGACTTACGCATTGTTGGTAAACGGACTTCCCCGCCTTAACGGGATCATGTTGGACTGTTGTGGTGCGCGCCCTGCAGTGATCCAATAGTTAGAGTATTCCGGCATTGGATCGGCCGCCCACAGTTAATGGGGCAATAGTCAGAGCTATTCAGGCATTGCTTCGACTGTTAAACAGTCCAACTTGACACCCCCGTTGTTTCCCGTCAGTGCGTTCTTCGTTTATGCGTATATTTTCTATATTAATATGTGCAATAAATTTTCATCGTAACACTTTATAATATTGTAAGTTACATATTTTTATTGTGTTTTGTCATTATGACATTTTATTAAAATCTTGTCATTAAGACAACTAAACCGATAACATAAACTGTTATACTTTGTCATTACGACACTATAACCTTTTTCAAAACCAAACAGTTATTATGAATGTTATTATTGTATTATTATTATAACTATTGTTGTTCATACAACTTTTACTTTTATATTCCGATATTTGTATTTATTTACCGATTTGTATTCAAAGGATATTTCGATAATTTTTAATTAATTAATTAATTAATTATAGTTACAATGTATTATATAGTAGCTAATACATGTTATATACTCTTGTTAATCAATTTAGTAATATAAATTATATTGATTGATTTTAATATTCAATATTAAGATAGTATTAAAATAATTGAAATTTTAAATAAGTAATTAAAAATTAATTAATTACAATAAAATTCGGATGATACATAATTTATGCAATAAGTCTACAATAGTTTTTTTTTTTTTTTAACCTAACGTAACCATTGAAAATCCCGTTAAACGCGTTTAAACCTCCTAGGTAGGCGATGTGGGCGTAAAGGAGAGATTTTAAACATATTATGGAAAATGCATGTCAAACGTTAGCAAGTTGAAAATCAAAAAACTATACATAATATTTAATATTTTTTTTTGATATCTTATAGATAGTTGATATCAAAAAAAAAAAAAAAAAAAATGGACTACTACCATTCTTCCCCTATACTTTTCAAATGTAAACAACTGAAAAGCTAAACATATAAAATAATGAACTCACGGTCAAAACTGAGTGAAACAACTGTATTGTCATCAATAAAATGTTCTCAGGCTATAATATAAGTTGCATATCACATATTATGTACATTTGAATTGTGCAGACTGTTAGCAATAGCTATAATTGGTTTTTATTTTTAATTAAGTATATAACATAATATAATAAGTTATAATGTGTAAACATAAATGTATATATTTATTGAATATAATAATATAATATATTTTGTCATCATCAATCAAGAAATATAAAATTAAATGTGTGAGATCAAAAATCATTTTTAAAATTTGAAAAATAATTTATGAGTACTAGTGTAAGATAGGATATCAAAACGAAAATATCAATTAATAATGATCAAATTTTATGAAAAAAAAATGCAAAAAAATCCGTACGTGTAGTTCTCTTATGGGCCGCCCGGAATACGCAGGAACGGGATTCAAACCTGCCTACCCAACGACGGGGGACCTATCCTAACACATATTGACTACAGTTTGAATTGTAAACTACAACCGAAACTCGAGCACTTAAACCGTTTTAGAGATGCGACGAATACTATATTACTCGTCGTTTAAGCGATACAATTTTTACGATTCGCGTGTCACGAAACCGTAAATCGCATATTTATTGTCGTTTAGAGTGTTTCCGACGTATTCCTCTACATTATTAATCGTATACGTCTTAATGACGTACCAAGTTTATTATCACAGACACATATCACGATATTGCCCCAAACGTACGCGATCAAAGGCATTACAACGACTGAAGAGCAACGATTTTGCGATGTTTTTGTATATTACAAATAAGAATCCGTTAAACCCGACGCGCGTTTCTTTTTTATACACGTAATAAATCGTATTTCGTACGCTGTCGAGACGGTACCGATGAGGTCACGGAGGCGTCCGAGGGCGGAGACACCGAAAACAAAACGACGCGTATTCGGTATAAAGATAAATGATTTATCGAATCTCAAAAAAAAAAAAAAAACAGTAGTACACGCGTGACGATACGATAACTGACCGGAGAACGCGCCGCGAGTACGCGTTTTGCGGACGCGAACGGAATTCGGGGACGCGCGGCTCGCGAGAGACGCGTTTCGCGCGATCGGAAAACGCGCGGACGCGAAAAAAGCGAAACCGATTCGGGCGAAGAGAAAAACCGGAGAAAAACGGGCGACGGCCGAGGACCGAATCCGAGCGAAAAAGACCCGCTCCGGGCTACGGCGTCGAGAACGCGACTGAAATAGGTCTCCGAAGGCCGGAAAACCGGGCGAAAAGCTGAAAAAACGGTATATATAAAAACAAAATAATAATAACGACCGATAACGACGACGGCGGGAGATAACATAACGATAACGGCGCGCGCGGGAGATATCAGATAACGACGATAAGAAAAAATTTTAATTTTCCGATTGGCCAGTACACTAAAGTACGAGCATTCTGGCGGATTTTTTAGGAAGCTCGATTTGGTTTTATATTATAAGAAGAAAGAAAGAAAGATTATAAGAAAATATAAGAAAGAAGATGTATAATAAACGTAATACTAAATATATTTTAAATATCAAATAATAAACATAATGAAGATTTTATTTTTGTTTTTAGAACACAAAAGTAATGGATTTTAATTCAGTAAATTACAGTTAATACATTTTACAAATTATTAATATATATAACATAACTATTATAAAATGGGTTTATTGTATTATATACCTACTTAACGTACTTTTATAATATTTCAAGCTTTATCTTATATTAAAATTTAAGTATTCATATTTATTAAGGTGAAATTATTTTATTTTATTTTATAGTATGCGTTGGTAAGATAATTTTTTATGTCAGAATATTTTTGTTTATACATTTTGCAGTCTATTTGTATAACATACTCATGATAAAATTACCTAAACTTGTGGTCTAGTCATACTTTTATGATATTTGAACAATAACATTTAACTTTTATTCTGTACCTATTTTTAAATCTTTATTATACATTATTTTTCTACCAGTTATTTGTTTTCCAAATAAAATCTTCGATTTTATGTAAAAAGTATGAATGAATTGTTTTTGCAATGGTGTTTGTTTTAAGATTCCAAGGGAAATACGTTGTTAATTATCTTAAATTATAAGACTGAAAATTTATATTAACATTACTTTTTCTAAACATTTAAATTTAAATTTAAATTTTCTATAGAATTCGTCAAAATCTCGTAAAGTACAAATTATTTTGTAGTTAGAAATTTAAAAAATGTTTCGGTTTATGTCTAGCATAATATTAGGAATGTATAATAACTTAAATAGTTTTTAAAATAGTTATTTATGGAGATATTCATTATTAGTAATGATAACGACAATTATTACTCATCTGGCATCGAAAAATAAAATCTGGTCGAAACTCGCGATACATTCTGGTGAGGGAAATTTTCTATATTCTACGATGTCGTCGACGGAGACTACTATAGCCTACTAAAGGCTACAAATAATAAAGCTAAATAGACTCAGTCAATTTGGGGAGGATGTCCAGACGTTGCTTCGTGATTCATTTGGATGCGCCATGGCAGTACGCCCTTACATTATTTTAAAAGGAGTATACGAATTGAGTTAAATTTTTCATAAATTCTATGTGAAGAGATAAATGCATTGATTTGATAAAAAATTTTTGTTGTCACCACCTTTTAGTGTCATAGGTAATAACGCTTCGAATTTCAATTTTTGGAATGGTCTCTGGTTGTAAATAAATAAATTAGCTTCATTTGGTTATTTTGGGGATATCAAAAGTAAAAACTAACAGTACTTTTCTAAATAACTGTAAAAAGAAATAAAACTGAAAATAAAATACAAGTAAGGTAAATAATTCTTTATGTTCAATTCGATAAAATAATATAATTAAACAATGATTCACAATTTTAGTTTTTTTTTTTTCAAATTAAAATATATTATTCAGGACTAATTGAAACATCTAACGCATATTATTATATTTCTAACATACCATGAGATTTTTATATAAAATTATTTTGGTAAAAACCAATTTAACTTACCATTTCTATTATAATTATTAAGTATTTTATTTGAATATTAATATATTATGAAATATATAGTAGCAAATCATCTCTGGTTAGAATCGTTTTTACAAATGTTTATTTTCGTTTATTCAAATTGGACATATACATTACAGTGACTTACTGATAATGTGATAACCAGGGATCGGGACTTTATACATTTACATATTTGTTCGAAAAACTTATTATTTTTTTTATACTCATAAAGATGTCAAATTCAAAATTGATATTTTATTATGCATATGTATGCGCATTAAGTCCCGAGCCCTGCTGATAACTGATGAATTAAATTTGGAATTTTATGTACATCAAAGTGGTTATCTACTTATACTATAATAATTTTCATGAAATAATTCATAATTTAATTTTATGTGTACTTATATTATATGTTTAATATTGGAAACAAAATGACAGACAATTTAAAATTAGTTGGGTTTGTTTGTAAGTATACTAATGTATAGTATTAAAATTAAGTGTTATCAGATCAATTTTTGTTATTTTTATTATATATTTAATCATATGAAACAGGTGTAACTATTTTATAATTATTATCAGGTCTGCAAGTGAATTTAAAACTATAAAAAGCTTCAAAAATGTAATAAAATATGCAATTAAAATGACAAAAATGTAGTATCCTCCCAAACATCGAAAATGTACTAAATGACAATAACCAACTACAATTATTATTAATTAACCAATTTAATCTGGAAATTCGAGAATGATATACTGATAATATGCCACAAATAAATAGCAATATTGCCTTATTTTATCGAATCATTAACTTTAACCCGCATACAGCCTGTGTAAAATAAAAAATATGTTTTCAAAAAAATTAATTGACAGAATTTGATTAAAAATACGAAAAAATTAACTAAAAATGAAATTATGACCAAAAAATTTAAAAATGTCGAATAATTCAAAGCATAAGTTTCATAAATGGATTTTTTGTTACATAATTCAAATTCATAGTCAATTAAAAAAATACAATTCTTAAAAATTCCCAACCTTAATTATTACATATTATATGTATACTATATATGTTAATATTAAAATTTTGCGATACATAAATCTGCGTATAATATGAGGGAGTAATAAACGTCTGATGTATTATATGTATTTATGCAGATGATTTACCATTAATAAATTACGCTTTTGCAATGATGTTTGGTAAGTAATTTAGTGAGGTTATAATTTATATCTTTAAAATATATCTAATGCCCATGCTTAAAAAAAAATATTTAAACATATAATATACTCTTACACCTTATATAGCATGTATCGTATATCTGTATAATAAATGAATACAATATACAACATTTTTTTCTATTAATTTTGTGGCAACTCATATTTTTTGATAACAATCATGAAATATTAGCTACTGATGCTGGAGTTATCCCATTTGATGCACAAATAGAAAAGAAATTAAACGAAAGTGATATAAACAAGGTGAGATTTGTAAAATTATTTTAAAAGTAATACTCATCAATTAAACAGTGTTCTTTAAATTAAAACTACTTATAATGTTTTTTTAATAAAAAATAAAGCGATCAGTAATTTCATAGTTTTTTTAATATCTACATAAATACTTTATGTTTATGAAACGAAATTAATAATGATTAGAAATAATTTACTCTCAATTCACATTAAATCAAAATCTTCAAAATGTAATATTATAAAATATTTAGTTGATAACCTTAGAAAGTGATTAGCATATTAAAAAACTAACGCTTGCATAGTATTTATTCTTTTTTAATGCTTTGTAAATGAGAATGAAAATATTTATATAATATATCAAGTATAATATTCAACACAATTTCAATATTTTATTTTTCAAAACATATCTTTAAAATACGGATGATATTTAGCATTATTTAAGTACCTATAATTCTATCAATTGTTTATTTACATCTGTCTTAACGTTTGAAACTCATTACAATTTTATTGAAAAACATTCATTCGACTAACCAACTATAAAATATATACCTGATAACGATATCATAATTAATTTTATTATTCAATAGGTTAATAATACACTCCAATTATTAAAAGATAAAATAAAAAAAACGCTTTAGATGTTTCCCTATTGGATTTAAATACTTACTGTATGTTCGAACATATCCGACAATATCACACTTCAATATTATTAAGATAGCTGTTCATTCCTTCCACCCTCCACACCATAAATCATTATCGTGCGTATCAACGTCAAAAACCGGCTTTTTCGGACACTGCCGGACTTTTGATTCTTTACTTTTTCCACTGCTGACGACAACGACGAGTGATACGTCGTATTCATTGTTCTGCAATTTTTTTTTGTGTCGCCGTTCGGTTTTGTCCACCGTACGGGTCGCGTTGGCACTGCTAGTGTATAGTTTGATTTTACCGCAAAACGAAAGTGCGTTTCTACTGTCCGCCACAATATACGTGGTTGGTATCCAGTGGAATAGAGAGTCTTTATCGTCGTCATCCAGTCAAGTGCCCCGACTTTTCGAAATACGTGGATAATTCAAGTCTGCAGGTGACTAAAATTGGTCATAAATTATACCGGAGTAACTGGTGGTAAACAACTGCCATATATCGTAAAATTGTTCGCAGCAAAACACTTTATGTCTGTATATAATCATTGCTAGTAAGACACTAGAAAAACAAGATATTAATCATTATCGATTATCAACAAGTTTCACACAATTCAAGTTAAACAAAAAAAGATGTTGTTATCTTTAGGTATAGGTATTTGAATAATGAGCAACAAACATATTTTACCTCACATTCTGCTACTTGTAATTCAGCATTTTTTTTTTTGTTTTTTGAAATTATGCTATGAGATTATGGAGAATATCTTCTTTTTTTTAATTTCATGGATTCTTCAAATTTTAATAAATTATTACTAAAAACACAAATCAAAGATGTATTGTGTTTTATTTTGTTTCCAGCAAAAAGAAATCCATGGTGAAACACTACTGGGAAAAGATAAAATTCGTGGTATGTTATTTAATACACTTTGATAATCACTACAGATTAAGAACAGGCGCTTAAGAATTCACTACTGCCAGCTTTATAGACTAATTAGTATGTTATTTAATACATTTTTATAATCGCTACAGACTTAATTATCTTTTATAAGTATTAGGATAAAATAGAGAGTTCTGGATCACCTCCCCTTTAAATTTTACATGTTAAAGCATAGCACCTCTATATCGGCAATATCTAAAGAGTACTTCCTCAACACTGAGTTATAACTCAATGTAGGCAACCTGTAACACATACAAACCTTTTGTCCCTAGAGTCTAAGGTAGGTTTTGAACGGGACAGTCCCGTTTTTTTGAATCTCTATCCCGTTGTCCCCTGGGAAATCTTCGGGACGCTAAAATGTCCCGTTTTCAAAAAGTAGACAAAAAAAATAATGAAAATAAATGTTCGTTGACAAAATATCGTTTTTATTATATCTTATTTTTTATGTGTGCGTGTGTGTTTGACGTTATTGACCGTGAATAGCATCTAGATAAGATAACGAGACAACAGTAAAATATAAAAATAACTACTGTCGCGACGTATTAACATGAATTAATCTAATGTATTATAATAATCGTTGTGATATCAGCACTAAAACAAAATTACCAAAATATTTCCTAAGAGATTGACCTTATTGTTACTGTTACACTGTTACAGTATTAGTAGTATTAGTATTACAGTAACCATCATCTGTTTTGGATGCTCTTGCTTATAATTATATTGTGTGGTACCTATTTTAAATCGTATAAGTATATTAAGTAATATAACTATTAAATAAGTTGTGCTGTGTTCTTGTGCATTTATATATTCAAGATGCCGAAACATAAGTGTATATTTAATAAAACTCTCCGAGAGAAATATCCATTTATCAAATTAAGAAGCGTTTGCCCATCTGATGTACTGTGTGAAAAATGTTCTACAAAATTTTCTGTATCACACGGAGGTGGGAGCGATGTAGAACAACATTTAAGATCTGAAAAACATAAAAATGCTGACCGTGCTGCAGCAGTAAGCCATCCTTTGGAGAGATATTTCAAAAAATGTTAACACGCCAACTTCTAAAGATCTTGAAATTGCAGCAGCAGAAGGAATTTGGGCTTACCATACCGTTCAAGAAAATCACAGCTTTCAATCAAACGACTGTGCATCCAAACTAATCCAATCGTGTTTTGACTCGAAATTTAGATGCGCGCGTACAAAAACAGAGGCAATAATAAAAAACGTATTTGCGCCGAAAGCAATATCCGATTTGAAAAAAACACCTCACTGCTGCTACTTGGGTATCTATTTCAACTGATGCATCAAATCATGGATCACAAAAAATGTTTCCTATTCTTGTACGATATTTTTTACCATATGAAGGCGTGCAAGTCAAAATTTTGGAGTTTAAAGAGTTATTCGGCGAAAACTCAGATATTATTGTATCTTACGTAGCTAATGTACTTCGACAAAACATTATTGAAGAAGTGAAACTTTCATCTGTTTTTTCGGTCTTAGCTGACGAGACTGCCGATATAAGTGGCACCGAACAATTGTCAATAGGTGTTCGGTATTTGTTTTACGACGTTAAGTTTCAAAAACACAAAATTTGTGAAGAATTTCTTGGTTACTCGCCTCTTACAAAACTAGATTCTAAATCCATTGCCAAAACCATCATTGAATTTTTAGAAAGTTGTAATTTAGATTTGAATCGACTTGTGGGCCAAGGATATGATGGATGCGCTACAATGGCTGGGCATATAAGTGGCGTTCAAAAATTAATTAATGAAGCTTATCCTATGGCGCTATTCTTCCATTGTACTAGTCACGTATTAAATCTTGTATTTAATGATTTAAATAACGTAAGTGAAGTAAGAAATACAACCGGGATCATAAAAGAAATAATAAATTTTTTTAGAGAGAGCACATTGCGTAGACAAATTATTCCCAATATTCCTTTACTATGTGAAACTCGTTGGACAGCAAAATATAAGAGTATTAGAATTTTTGCTGACAATTTTATTGTTATTGTCAAAGCTTTGGAAGAACTATCAAAAAGTACAGCAAATTCAAAAACCAAAATTAAATCATATCAACTCTTTACTGCTGCTACTACACCAGTTTTTATTGTTACATTGCAAGTAATAGCTGTTTATTCCGCTAAATTTGAACCAGTATGCAATCTACTTCAACAAGTTAATATAAATTTGAAAACGGTGAACAATCACATAACCAAACTAGTTGATATTTTGCAGTTGTATAGAAATGATTCGTCGACTGAATTTTCCGTATTATTTGCAAAATCTAAAGAAATCGCTGAAGAACTTGATGTTGAAATACGTCCACCTCGAGTAGCTGCACGACAAAATCAAAGATCAAATCATCCATCTACAAACCATGAAGAGTTTTTCAGAATATCCATTTTCGTTCCTTATCTTGATTCAGTTATATCATCATTAAAAGATCGCTTTTCTAAAATTCACAATCAATCATTTTCTCTAATGGATCTTCATCCCTATGCTATGAAAAAACATGAGTAAAGAACAGTTTATTTGCACATCAAATGATATTGTGGCTAAACTTTGCGGAAATATTTTGTCATCAAATTTTGTAACTGAAGCCACAATAAGAAGTGAGTCGTGAATAATGGTACAAAACCATTAGATTCTATGAATACTTAGATTTGATCGAAATGTCAAGATTTTTATCCAGCTGTAGCCGACGCAATCAAGATCGAGCAATTTTCTAACAACAACTGCGGCATTAACGTCTATTCAGTACTTTAAGACGAAAGGCATGGTCAGAGCCGCGGTGATGACTGATTGTCCGATTGTATGATGTGTAAGAAAAGACTAGAGAGATAAATTCATTGAAAATTCAATGAAGAATTCTGGAAAAATTTAGGCGTTTAAAATTATTTAAAAATAAGTGTTTATAATATGGTATAATATTGTAAAATAAGTATAAATTTCATAATAATAAATGTTTAATAGAAATAATGTAGATAATTATAAAATAAAAGAAGGTTTTATCACCATTCAAATTTTTTTTTTTTTTGTCAAGCCAAGGGGGTGCAAATGCACCCGCTTGCACCCCCCTTACGGCGTCCATGTACCCAAGCTACCGCCTAGCTGTTACTTTTTAATAACTTATTATAATATTATGTGGACGATATAATTAGGTAAATTTAAAAATAACTTATTGTTGTTATATATTCACATAATATCATTGTAATAAGCAAGTTCAAGTGTAGCAGTTAATAAATAATAATCAGATAATTTATTTCAGATAACAGTAATCCTAATTTTATTTATTCGTCATTGATGAAAGCATTTGTATTATATTATTATCACGTAGAATTTGACACATATTTTTAAAAATGCTGTTAATAATAAGGAAACTAATATATAGATTATAATATTTATAATTTTTGACAGAATATTTAAATCAATACAGCAATGCATGTGTTCAATTTGATTCTGATAATATTAACCGTAAGTATTATTCTTAAAATGTTTCAGTTTTTATAAGTGTTTGTACAAATAAATTATAAAGTTTGTTTTAAACGTGTTGAACTTATAATTGTGATTGTATTTTTATATTTATTATATATCAAGTGAAAAAAGAAACAGAATCAAATAACATAGTATTTTATTCATTTATTACAGCTCCTGTGTTAAGTCCAGAAGATTATTGTAATGCGCTAAGTGAGTAATAGCATTAACATGTACATAAAATAAATTCAAATTTTTCTATTACAATAAATTTTCAATCCTACATTTTTTTATCAAAAAAGGTATGAGTTTTTCAAACATTAAAATATGCGCAGTGGTGGAAAGTTCTACGGTTTATACTTTTAAAATAAAGAAAATAAATCTTTTATTGTTATACGAATGATAGCTGTTTTTATTTAAATATCAAGTGTTGTCAAAATATACGAATTTAAACTTTTTAGCGGAAAGTAATGGGTTTAATGTTTTTGACGAATATTGAATTTGTGATATGGTAAATTTTAAAAGTAATATACAATAAAAATATCGTGTTTATATTAGATATTATAGCTTTTAGTCTTTGTGTATCCTTAATATGCAAATGCAAAAGACAAAACTAATAAGAATAAGTAAAAAAATGTGATGTTGTACTAATAAGTACATCATGAAATGTATAACTAAATCAATGTTTATTGTTCATGTTTAATGTAATTGACGTGTGTACGAGTATAGTGTAAATCTACCAGAAATTAAGGAAATTCCTGAATGAACAATGGTTTTAAAATATACTTAAAGTAATCACCTGTCAATATACTAATGGATAAAAGAAATACTATGGTTATTAATTTTAGTTGATTGTTAATTATAGCTGTAAAATTAAATAGATACTACATAATATGTATTTTGCTATATTTATTGTATTTACATAATATAAGATTTTCGCACCAATGTCACTGACCACAGGATCTCCGGTGATCGTTTTTACTTTTTTTTTGTTATTTTGCAACCATCGTCCAGTACTTTGGTCGGCGTGACGCTGTACGTACCTTTTATTACCACGTAATTTGTGTGCATTACGCGCTAATATTTTCTGTATGTGGGTTTGGGGTGCCTACACTACCTGTCGTATTTTAAGTCTACACGTATCTGTTTGTAGTCAATGACATACGAATACATAAAATGTTGTACGTCTGGCGTTTAAAATTTACATCAAATTAACGCCATGGTGAGTTCAACGACCTGAAATCATGACATGTTATCTGTCGTTGTTGCCGTATTCGACCGTTAATTGTTGCTATCGTCATCGATATTATTTATTTTATATTAATGTATTATTATTTGTTTATATCATATTTCCATATTGTATTTATTTTGTGTATTTTATATGTATATCATTCTGTTATTAATATTATTCCAATATTGCCCAAAGAGACGTATCTGGTAGACTCGTTACCTGTTATACCGTGATATACTGATAAATTAATAATTAATTACTTATATTTATTACTAAAAATGTAATACCTATTCTCATACATCACTCGAGTCATCTAATAAACTGCTACAACAAGTGCTGACAGTGTAAACAAATTAAATGTGAATTTTAATAGTATTCGTACATGCTATAATTTTCATTGAATCTGTTATTTAACACATAATATAGGTATATGTATATTGTAATAACGAGAAAATATAAGATGGAATAAATAAATATAAAACTAAAAATTAGGATAAAAAGTAGTGGTTGGACAAACACAAGGGGCACAAGCCTTGGATGTAAGTCCAGTGTTAATAATTATTGAATATACTTGTTCTCATAGGCGCCGACAGGAATTTTATCAGGAGGGTGCATGTGCATGTGCAAGTAGGTAGGTATACGCTGATTTCTAAATAATGCTTATATACGTAAAAATATTTTTTCAAATTGTATGACGATACAAAGTTATTTTAGATTTTTTTTAACGACTACAATGTAACGCGGGCTAGTGATTATGATTAGAAAACCCAATAATGACAATAGTAGCCTTTATCCTACACGAAAACTCGTAAGCTTATCGCATGCGATAAAAATGACCGATTTATATATTGAATATACAGTGTATATTATACACGTGACAACTGACATGTCCTATACATCCATCGACACTATACGATCGATAAAATCTGAATCATTATTAGTCGACAGTCGTGTGTCCGTGTGTGTATATCTCAACGTGCTTAATACCAAATACGCCATATATAATATATTATTTTAGTTCTTACGTAAAATTATTAATATATAAAAATGAGTGACATACGAAATTTTTTGCAAAATAAACGCAAGATAGAATTAAGTCCATCAAGTATAAATGAAGGCAATCATGACATAGGTGATTTAAGTAATTTAAGTATATTTTTTAAGTATAAGTAATATTTCTAATAGTAGCCAACAAAAAGAAGAACCACAACTTCTTCATCAGTTTACTGTTGGTGCTAATAAATTAGATATTGGACTGTATTTGAATTCCTATGTTGTTTACGAATTACGTTAAAAGTTATTGAAAGACCTCTGGGTTCCTTCAAAATATATGACTTCAAAAAAGATTTGACCAACGGCTCTACGAGAGTATTTCGTATAGAATGGCTTGCACTTTATCCATGGCTAAGTTACTAAGCTGTTTCTAAAGGCCCACTATGTCGCGTTTGTGTATTATTTCGACCTCGAGTACATAGAGGTGTTAAAAGAGCATTCATTGTTTCACCATGCATAAAATATCAAAAATTTAACGAGGTTTGACATAAAGATGCAATTAATGCGTCACAACATTTTTTAAACTCAAAAGAGAGAAAACAATTGAGTGTTCATGAGCAAATAGATTCGGCATTTAATAGAGAAAGAGAAGAAAACAGGGTGAAACTTCGTTCTATCATATCGTCAATCTTATTTTGTGCAAAGCACGATCTTCCACTAAGGGGTAAAAATAACGAAGGTTCAGTTTAAAAATAGGGAGTTCTGGATCACCTCCCCTTTAAATTTTACATGTTAAAGCATAGCACCTCTATATCGGCAATATCTAAAGAGTACTTCCTCAACACTGAGTTATAACTCAATGTAGGCAACCTGTAACACATACAAACCTTTTGTCCCTAGAGTCTAAGGTAGGTTTTGAACGGGACAGTCCCGTTTTTTGAATCTCTATCCCGTTGTCCCCTGGGAAATCTTCGGGACGCTAAAATGTCCCGTTTTCAAAAAGTAGACAAAAAAAATAATGAAAATAAATGTTCGTTGACAAAATATCGTTTTTATTATATCTTATTTTTTATGTGTGCGTGTGTGTTTGACGTTATTGACCGTGAATAGCATCTAGATAAGATAACGAGACAACAGTAAAATATAAAAATAACTACTGTCGCGACGTATTAACATGAATTAATCTAATGTATTATAATAATCGTTGTGATATCAGCACTAAAACAAAATTACCAAAATATTTCCTAAGAGATTGACCTTATTGTTACTGTTACACTGTTACAGTATTAGTAGTATTAGTATTACAGTAACCATCATCTGTTTTGGATGCTCTTGCTTATAATTATATTGTGTGGTACCTATTTTAAATCGTATAAGTATATTAAGTAATATAACTATTAAATAAGTTGTGCTGTGTTCTTGTGCATTTATATATTCAAGATGCCGAAACATAAGTGTATATTTAATAAAACTCTCCGAGAGAAATATCCATTTATCAAATTAAGAAGCGTTTGCCCATCTGATGTACTGTGTGAAAAATGTTCTACAAAATTTTCTGTATCACACGGAGGTGGGAGCGATGTAGAACAACATTTAAGATCTGAAAAACATAAAAATGCTGACCGTGCTGCAGCAGTAAGCCATCCTTTGGAGAGATATTTCAAAAATGTTAACACGCCAACTTCTAAAGATCTTGAAATTGCAGCAGCAGAAGGAATTTGGGCTTACCATACCGTTCAAGAAAATCACAGCTTTCAATCAAACGACTGTGCATCCAAACTAATCCAATCGTGTTTTGACTCGAAATTTAGATGCGCGCGTACAAAAACAGAGGCAATAATAAAAAACGTATTTGCGCCGAAAGCAATATCCGATTTGAAAAAACACCTCACTGCTGCTACTTGGGTATCTATTTCAACTGATGCATCAAATCATGGATCACAAAAAATGTTTCCTATTCTTGTACGATATTTTTTACCATATGAAGGCGTGCAAGTCAAAATTTTGGAGTTTAAAGAGTTATTCGGCGAAAACTCAGATATTATTGTATCTTACGTAGCTAATGTACTTCGACAAAACATTATTGAAGAAGTGAAACTTTCATCTGTTTTTCGGTCTTAGCTGACGAGACTGCCGATATAAGTGGCACCGAACAATTGTCAATAGGTGTTCGGTATTTGTTTTACGACGTTAAGTTTCAAAAACACAAAATTTGTGAAGAATTTCTTGGTTACTCGCCTCTTACAAAACTAGATTCTAAATCCATTGCCAAAACCATCATTGAATTTTTAGAAAGTTGTAATTTAGATTTGAATCGACTTGTGGGCCAACGATATGACGGATGCGCTACAATGGCTGGGCATATAAGTGGCGTTCAAAAATTAAATAATGAAGCTTATCCTATGGCGCTATTCTTTCATCGTACTAGTCATGTATTGAATCTTGTATTTAATGATTTAAATAACGTAAGTGAAGTAAGAAATACAACCGGGATCATAAAAGAAATAATAAATTTTTTTAGAGAGAGCACATTGCGTAGACAAATTATTCCCAATATTCCTTTACTTTGTGAAACTCGTTGGACAGCAAAATATAAGAGTATTAGAATTTTTGCTGACAATTTTATTGTTATTGTCAAAGCTTTGGAAGAACTATCAAAAAGTACAGCAAATTCAAAAACCAAAATTAAATCTTATCAACTCTTTACTGCTGCTACTACACCAGTTTTTATTGTTATATTGCAAGTAATAGCTGTTTATTCCGCTAAATTTGAACCAGTATGCAATCTACTTCAATAAGTTAATATAAATTTGAAAACATAACCAAACTAGTTGATATTTTGCAGTTGTATAGAAATGATTTGTCGACTGAATTTACCGTATTATTTGCAATATCTAAAGAAATCGCTGAAGAACTTGATGTTGAAATACGTCCACTTCGAGTAGCTGCACGACAAAGTCAAAGATCAAATCATCCATCTACAAACCATGAAGAGTTTTTCAGAATATCCATTTTCGTTCCTTATCTAGATTCAGTTATATCATCATTAAAAGATCGCTTTTCTAAAATTCACAATCAATCATTTTCTCTAATGGATCTTCATCCCTATGCTATGAAAAACATGAGTAAAGAACAGTTTATTTGCACATCAAATGATATTGTAAAACTCTATGGAAATATTTTGTCATCAAATTTTGTAACTGAAGCCACAATATGGTATGAAATGTGGAATAATGGTACAAAACCATTAGATTCTATTGAATACTTAGATTTGATCGAAATGTCACAAGATTTTTATCCAGCTGTAGCCGACGCAATCAAGATCGGAGCAACTCTTCTAACAACAACTTGCAGCATTGAACGTTCATTCAGTACTTTAAGACGAGTTAAGACATGGAACAGAGCCACTATGGGTGATGACCGATTGTCCGGATTGTGTATGATGTGTGTACATAGAAAAAGACTAGGAGAGGATACCAAATTCATTGAAAATTCAATTGAAGAATTTGGAAAAAAATCTAGGCGTTTAAAATTATTATTTAAAAAATAAGTATTATAATATAGACAATATTGTAAAATAAGTATAAATGTATAATAATAAATAATAGAAATAATGTAGATAATTATGCAAAATAAAATAGTTTTAATACCATTCAATTTTTTTAATTTAATTTTTGATTTTTTTTTTTTTTTTTTTGTCAAGCCAAGGGGGTGCAAATGCACCCGCTTGCACCCCCCTTACGGCGTCCATGCTTGTTATCGTGTTATTACCTTCATTCTGTTCTTTGGAGGATTCTCGAGGTCTTGTATTTGAGAATGTAATCAAGAACACCGTTACGTAAATTAGATAGCGATAGAATCTGTATTAACAATACGTATTTTAGACATGCACCTTACCTGATTCGCCGCAGTGAATACTTATTGTAAGTTCCTCGGAGAAAGATATAAAGCGACACAAATTACGATACGACTTAAAAAAAACTTAAATTTAAATAAGAAAAACAACTCTGGTTTAACTTTATAAAAAAGAAGTCCAGCTGTCACTCGCAGAATCTTGTGTGTACACCGTGTGGTGGTTTTGGGTAAAGATCCTGCTCGCTTGTCTGGTGCGCCTGCATTGATGGCTTAATCGGTGCTCATGCACTCGATGGCTTGGCTGGTGCTCATACACTGATGAGAAAAGGCAACCTGATTAAGCCAGCCAGAGTCGTTGGCGGCACCATCAATGATTACCGCGTTTTCTAAAGAAATAGGATTTCTCCTAGGCGACAGAGACCCTCATTGGAACATCCCTTGTCTCTGCAGGCACACGAAACTGTGTTACACGCTTTTCAGCACATTGCCAAAAATCATGTGTCAATCCCTTTGTTACCATATAATAAAAATCGTTTATTTTATCAGTGGTGAAAGAATGTTTATGGGGTTTTAATTTGCGTGCGAAAACTTGACCGTTAATTTATTAGTTTGAATTTTATGATTATGTAATATACAATTATGTGTTTTTATGTCAACAAAGAAATAATTATAATAATGATAATAATGAATAAATATGACAAGTGTCCACTGTGAAGTATATAATAACTAATATTATATTAATTATTTTAATAGTTTTAGTATATTCCGTGCATATATAATTCAATTTCTTGATAGGCACGGCTAAAAATTTAACATTGATTCCATTGAAGGAATAGTATATTAACAATGTAAATATTGATTATACATTGAAGTAAATAGTTAAATAAATAATAAATCTTCGAGCTAATGTTGGGATATCATAAAATACGAATAAAAACGGATTAAAACAGAAACAAGAATAACTACAGAAACCAGAATATTTAGAAATTCAATACTAGAGCTAAGATTTTAAAGACCTAAAAACTACACAAAAATTCACTAAAAAAATACACAAAATGGCCAAAAATTCAAAATTGTACTTAAATAAGAGAAAACAAATTTAATTTTAAAATAATTAATATGATAAATTATAAATTGTCATTTATTCCTTTTTATACTACATAAAATAGATAATAATTTATTTAAAAATTAAATTAAACTCATATAATCAAATTTGGATTAAATTGTGAATTTATTCGATTCCTGGTATAATTTTTCATAAAATTTCATAAAATTATGAATTCAAATAGTTGAATGAATGATATATTATATTTATTTTCACCTGTATACATAATATTGCATTACACAATTTGATGGTTCTTAAGATTTTCAAACAGGAAACTGAGTCGGTGATCTGATAAATTGTTTTTATATGAAGAGAAACTTTGTACTTCGGCTTTCTACTGTTGACTTAGTTTTTGGCATTTTAAAGATTTTTAAAGTTGAATATCTTTTTATTATTAGTCGTAATATTATGTGTTCAATATCGGTGTAGAACATCATAAGTACGTGTCATATTCTGGTTTTCACTACTAAAGCTTTCATAGTATATCTATAACGCCTTTACACACTAGGCGAATAGTTCACTCATGGATGCGATTTTAAATGATCACCTAAAATTAAATCAATCGTGTATTTTATTCGCTCCCCTTCCTTATCGGTAGTATGAATGGTCAAATTTAATTAAAGCTGTTTAATTTTAAACGAATGTTCGCGGCAATGTAAAATCTCTTCCGCGCACAAACTATGTTTGATATTTCATTTTATCAAATAAATCGACAATTAATTATATTATTTATTCATTATCAATGGATTGGTGTTGATAATTGGGATTACCTTATATGTACAACACATATTAAAAAAAAAAAACTAAAAATAAATAAAAAATGAGTTAAAATACACAAAATTAACGTAATTTTTCTAAAAATTATCTATTAAATACAACTGTATTTAACATAATAAATACAAAATAAAAATTACACATTATAAAAAATTGTTATACAATTATACCAATTAAATTTCTGTTTAAAACTGCATATCACATAAAGAAAAAAATGCAAGTCTTCAAAATCCTTGTTCTACACATCACAAATTAAATGTTTTTAGATTTTCTTACTATTCCTATGATTGTAAACTTATTAAATCAATGAAATGTATACCCTTTACTTATCCATTACTGGCCATTTACTTAGCGTTGGATTATTTTTATTTCATTTTTAAATACTTTAAATTATTATACATAAACTTTCCGGCACTACGTTTGATTTATCATAAAGTGAATTAATAATAAAACTAATTTTTATTTTTAAAATATATCAAATATTTAGCTAAATATTTAAATTAATTCATTTCTATACTTTAGTTAATTTTTATTCTAAAATCAATTATAGCGTAAGAACTATTATAAAATAACACTAACATTCATTTAATATATTTTTAAAGTGAGAGAACGAAAGTGTATAAGTACGTATGTATTATTATATTACATTTATTTTTAATCGTAATACATGTTTAAAATTATCTATTAATTTTAAAATGTTATTTATTATTATGACTTGTATTTACTAACTATTAATGTTAAGTTTTATGAAACATTAAATAAAAAAATACATTACAAATTTATCATTAAAAATAATTTGTAACAAAAAACAATTTTAATTACTTTATTGTATATGTTTTATAGAGAAACTCGTGGCGTATTTATGTAAGTTCACACATTTGTTTATCACTACAGTCATATTTTTACTCACATAAAAATATACTTTACTTAATATCTAATTCTTCTATCATAATTTTAAATCCATTGAAACCCCTAAAATTATACAAAACTTTTATGATAGTAGTTGTATATAAATTTTAAAATAAAACTTTATTATAATATATAAAACAGTTATAAATAAAGAATTATTTAAATAATATTATATTTTTGTTATGTTCAATTCGGTCTTTTTATTGTCAACTCCATCATGGGTCAAAGATGTAATTTTTGTACCTTAGTAGATTCATAATTAAATGAAAAAGTGATAAATGATTTTGTTTTCGATGAGAAGTGTTTTTATATTTGAAGCAATTGATGAATATTTCATAAATTTTGAATTTCAACAATTTTTCTATTTTTAATATAACTTGGTAATCAATAAACATCGGTCATAAATATGTATTTTTTTTTAATTTTATAACATATAATCTTAAAAACTGTTCAGGACTCTAAGAAAAATTTCAATCACAAACCATTTATCATAATTTTAATTAATAACTATTTATATGTATATAATTTGTAATTAAGAATTCCTTTTATACTTTCGCAAAGGGTAAAAGTAAATTCATAATAGTATTGACTATTTTAATTTGTTTAAAATTAAAAAAAAATATATGTAATATAAAGCTATTTGGTCAAATTTAAAGAATAAAATGTTAACATTTTTAAGCATAACCCTGGTCCCTGACGTTAGAATAATTACAATAAAATCTAAAATTAATTTCATGCTTTATCTACTTTTAAAAGGTTACTTTATTTGTCCTTTAAGTAATAATACTCAATTAAATCACTACAAATCTTGCTAATAAAACTTCTTATAACAGTCTCTGACCGTCTATTATCTAATAATGGTAAATAATTCACCCTGATAACACTGCACATGTAGGATCTGATATAATAATATCACTTAATATCCAACACTATTTACATCCGACTAATCAGACGTTTGTAATACATATATACAAGTAACTAATATCCAAATAACATTAAATTATACACCAATTAAAATACTTTCCCTTTACTTCGCTACTTACCCTACTATTAATTCAAAACTAATAAAATTTTTAAAATATTTTGGCCAAACATTTTGATTTCAATGCCAAACACTCTCTATGGGATTGCATATCTTCTGATAATCCACGATATAATATAATTCAAAAAAATCATAACCAATAACAATTATGCATACATATTCTTGAATGGCCTCATCTACTGGCTACAACACCAAAATAGAAACTTAAACATTTTAGATTTCTATATTTCAACAGTACCTATTTATATATAACTATCGATTACCAACTTAAATGATCCTTTAATTGCTGACCTTACATTTAATTCACTTTCAAGAAACCCCATCATGTCGTCTTAAAAGAAAATAGTGCAGAGATTAATTAAATAAATGATGAAGGTGAACAAACCATTAGAGTTTAATTATAAAAAAAAAAACTAACGTGTTGGGCGTTATTACTGGATGGCCTCCCATTTCTTGTGTATCATATTTTATTGTAGTATTACCCTAAGTATGCTATAAAATTATTTTTTTAGGTACCTAACACATAAAAATAATTAATATGATTAATAAATACTACGCTGTATACAATACACACTATAAATTATATGTAGGTATAATATAAAATAATCGACGCATGAACTCATATCATCGTTATTACACATGGAACGTAATGCTAGACAGGCGAGGAAAACACTGTAATGCAAATAATATAAAAATAATGATCTTTAGAGTCATTAATTGTAATCGTGACAGGCAACGTTTGCAAATTATTTAATAATAATTAAAGTTTTCATACTATCTTAATAATTATGATAAAAATTATAAAATAGTAAATTATAAAAAAATATAATACAAATTGTTATTTTTCCCAAAGTGTATGTATTTATTGATTGTATTTTCAAATATTCTTATCATGCCTTGCAGCATAGGTTATAAATATACTTTTTTTTTTAAATAAAAAATAAAAATAAAAAAATGTAATGTGAGAGTTTCCATAATAATATATCAGGGGTATCAAAGAGATACAATGCACATAAAATAGGAATTTGACTTAGCAATATATCGCCTATATTGTATATTTGTATTTTATTGGAAAAATAAATGAAAGAATTATTATATTTAATTCATCCTCAACTTTGTTTTTACAAAGTATTATTTACTTACTACAGGAAGACAATTTTATTTATGGTAGGAATATTATTGTCGATTGAATGGAAGACCTTAGTTTCTTTCGACAGTTATATTATTTGGTGAATTCCATTGAAATATATTTTTTTTAAACGATGAACGTATTAATCCAATGAGTTTAAACACGTGCCTAACTGAAATTGCATTATTTAAAAATACAAATTAACAATTATTTATTATGTTACTGAATTGACTGATTCACTGTATTCTAAATTAAAAATAGCAGTGTATTAATAAATTTGTTAATAACTATAAAAATATATTTTATGATTTACTTTTATAATTTCACAGTTTTAAACAGTAAGTTCATGATATGATTGACTATATTTTTTTATAATTATTATTTGAAATAAGGCTTCAATAGCAATGAATTTTAGCTTGTCTTATACAAACATAGTATTCCTTAAAACTATGTGTTACATTTAGTTAACTAATTTGGGTTTACACCTGTTTACAATATTTAATAATATTTGTTAAATTTAAGAATGTAATTATTTTCAATGTTTTGTTCTCGTCGATTGATTTTTCTATATTCTATGGAGTTTTAAGGTATATAGTGTGCATACCTACATCTTTCCGTGTGTTGCGGGGTCGACCAGTTCTTCCGGGTTGCCCCAGAGACACTCAGCCCCTTTATGTAACCGCGGGGTTGTCTCTTCCGGGCAGTAGTCCCGGATTGCTCCGGGGGTCCCACCCGGGGCGCCGCCTCACCTCGGGCGCCATAATGAGTGACCGCCGCGGCCAGAGCCCGACGGATTATCGCCTGAGTCAAACCCCTTCTACTAAGGCGGTACTCCCACAACCACCACGAGTCCTTCCTCAAGTGTGCCTTCCCCGGTGCGGGCGAGCGCGAGTCCTCGGTGAGTCCACGCGGTCGTGCGCCTCGGGTCCAGCACCCCCGGAGCGTCGAGGCGCTATTAGCAAGCCGACTCGACGGGGCTTACTCCGAGTCCCGTGGTACAAGGTTTGAACCCGGCGTTCAGGCCCTCGCAACTGCCTTGTCCGCAAGCAAGTCGGTCGGGGCACCGCTGTGTGTACCGCGACGACTCCTTTATAGCGCGTACGGTTTTGATCTTTATCGACAGATTGCCATTTCTGCCGGTGCCTATCTCATATCAAGCCCCGAGCCGGCTGAATACGTGCACGTGCTTCGCCCGATGGGTGGTCTGGCCCCTTTAGTTCGAGCTCTCGGTCTAGGCAAGAATTTGTTCATAGGGAGCGAGGACACCCAATTCGCCCCGCAAGATTTCTCGGTCCGACCCGATTCCGAAGAGACCGGGCATTTAGTCCGTCCCGCAAGGTATCCCGTTCCTCGCTCCCGGCTAGGCGGGTCTTAGTACGGAGGGCGTCCGACGATCCTGTGGGGGCGCCGTCTTAGGGCCCTTTTAATCCGGCTATTGGGTCCCGCTTCGCCTGCCACTATCCGGTACTTCGCAGGCTTTCGCCCTGCCGCCATCGATGACAGCGACAGTCGTTTCGGCTAGGCCCACTCGGACGATTTGTTCCCGCGTGGATAGGGGAGACTGTCCCCATGCCTCTGGCAGTGCGCCGTGCCCTGCACGTACGCCCTCTAACCACACGCCCGACCGCTGTGGTTTTAAAATTAGGGGTCTGGGTCGTGCCCGCGGGGTCGCCCTACATCTTTACGTTCTAGGACCTCCCGGGAGAAGTTTTTGAACGCAAGGAACATGGCCTCCGTGGAGGTCATGGTATCGCAGTCGCACGGCCAGTCCACACCTTCCGCTTGCGCTGCGGCTGCGAGCTTGTTTCTTTCCTGGCTATATGATGGGCAATCGTATAGCACATGCTCCGCGGTTTCCTCTGGAAGACCGCATCGGCAACGTGCCTCGCCTCGAAGGTTGAAACGACAGAGCGACGAATTGAAATTCCCGTGCCCGGTCACAAACTGCGAGATGTAGTGGTCCGGAACGAACCACGGCCTCTCGAGCCTGCGCCGCACGTCCGGGAACCAAATCGCCGTCCGCCTACCTTTGTCCCCGGCGACCCATCTCTCCTGCCAGAGGCGTATGGTAGTGTCGTAATACTGTTTCGCCTTTCCAGCAACTTCTGACGCCGACTTGTTTCCTCTCCTCACGGCGTTCTTATCCCGTTCGATCTTAGCCAGCCGAACTAGTTCTAAGTCGAGGGGAGGTACTCCGGCTAGGACCTGGAGCGCCATCGTCGACGTGGTCTTATACGCGCCCGTCATTGCCAGTAACGGGCGTCTTTGGGCGGTGTTAGCCCGTGTTCGATGCCGGTACTGTGCCATGCAGCGCTCGGACCATACCGAGGCCGCATAACCCATACGCGGCAGGAACACCGATTTGTACAGGATCCTCGTCGTCCTTTCTTTAAGGCCCCTGCTAGCCTTAGCCACAGATATTAGTCGACTGAATAGCGCTACCGAGGACGCAGCCTTTTCCGCCAGATGGGAGCTAAACTTCCTTTGCGGGTCAAACGTGACCCCGATGTATTTCGCCTCCGGGGTCATTTTCACCTTAGTCCCCACAAGTCGCGAGTCAAGGGGCTCACTTAGTTGGCCCTTGATCCACAAGGTCTGCGACTTGGCCACCGAGAAGGTGAATTTCCTGTCAGTGGCCCACCTCGACGCTATTTCTAGCAGCGCGTTCGCACGTTCCGTGAGCTCCGGACGGTGTTTCCCGGAGATGAGTAGCGCGAGATCGTCCGCGTATGCGACTATCTCTCTCCTGGGTGGGAGATCGCCGGACAAGAGCGGTTTGACCGCGTACCTCCAGAGGTCGGGC